CGCCTTTTGAAACATATTGTCCATTCTATAGCCACTCCATTGTGTTTATTATTCAATTTATCTTTGCTCAAGCATGAATTCCACAACGATGGAAACTGGCACTTGTCATTCCAATATATAAGAAAGGTGATACATCTTTACCTTCCAATTATAGTTCTGTATCACTATTATCATGTATCAGTAAGATATTTGAGAGTCGTTTTCAAAAGATTGTACAATTATCTTATAACTTATATCTTAAAACTGCCGTATTGGAGCAATCCGCTCTGCCACCGACATATTACAATTGCGGTAAGAGATACACAAACGTATTGCACACTAGACTAAGACATAGTTGCAGCACATTAAATTTCGACCTGTTTCGGGTTAACTTTTCTGATATTATTGCCTGTGAATGTGGCGTGCCATGCGAAAATTCATTTCACTTCTTTTTCGAATGTACTTTATATGATGACTTTAGGAAGCCGCTATTCTCAGATATTGATAGATTTGGAGGCCAAAAAACACTGCACACTATCTTATTTGGTGACCCTAACCTAAAAGATTTGATGAATAAACATATATTCCTGTCTGTACACAAGTATATAGAAACTACAAACAGATTCACCAGCTAATACAATATTATTGTTTCTATTTCTATTTTAAATGATATACTGTATAATATTTGCAAATGTATGACATGCACTTTTTTCACTTTTTAACTTTCCAGCACACTGTATATATCCTGTAAAAACACTGTATATATATACCAACACTGCATACGTTTTCCCCAATGTCAAGCTTCCACTGTAAATTGTACATTGTATTATGTAATAATATGTTTAATTGTATTTAGGGAGAAGGCGATCATAAGTGGTGCACTTGTGCCTAATCCCGTTGTCATTTGGACAATAAAATATGTTTAAACCAAAAGAAATGATCGGATCAATGAAAATGTATTTCCATGCCAAATGTGTATGAAACTAGAGGTTTTTGCACAAACTTGCAAGAAATGAAGTAGTTTCATTCACCATGACCTCACCATACACTTCTAGTTTGAACCATTACTTCTTGACCTTCACAATTTAAATATAAGGTCTTTAAATGCCAAATCTTTTAAGGGAAGGACTGTGTACATAAACATAATAGGTAATGACGCATTCTTCTGTATTCTACATTAACATCTGCTTAATATCATCACAATGTCATGTCATATGCTTGTACATGGCAAAATATTGTACATAGGCTGAAGCCCTCAACAACACCAAATGGTTATAATGATAATCAATTCATATTCTTAGCATCCATTGAAACATGCTGACACACTGGCACCATTACCGTATATTACCGTCTATAAGTCGAATTTTGAGGACCAAAAAAAGCAGTCTGTATAAGGGGATCGTCTTATCCATGGGTTACGCTTTCGTCAAACTTTTTTCCAGGGGTAAGAAAACAACATCGTATCACTTCGCGTGAACAAACAACAGAAGACGACTTTGTCAGTAGAGACGTCAAATTTGCAATTAAACATCACTAGACAAGATTATTTACCTTTTAAGTTCTAAGTTGTTTTTGCTGGGCATTGTATTATTTGCAGGGATTAAGATTACCGTGTGTATCTGAGCCGGAAATAGCAATCAGCTTTGCACATGTTTCCCGGCGATCAAGTTCAAACATGCACAATAATATAACGGGACGAATTCTGACGCTGTCATCAGTAAAATATAATACAGAATACTATTATTTAACCCAAAGAAATATATCCTAACGTTGTGTAATTTTAATTACAGTTTTTGCTCTATAAATTAATTAAGAATAAGATTACCGTGTGCATTTGAGCCGGAAATAGCAATCAGCAGCGAACAAATTCAAACATGCACAATAATATATTGGGATGAATTCTGACGCAGTCGTCAGTAAAATATAATACTGAGTACTATTATTTAACCCAAAGAAATATAACCTAGCATTGTGTAATTTTAATTAGTTTTTATGTAAAATATATATAATCAACACTAAGGTTGTACGGACCCTCATGAACGTGGTAAGCAGAAGTTGTACGCACATGGAATAGGGTAAAATACGGAAGCCATTTAAATTCATACATTTTTACCGATGTTACTGTAAACTAGCAGTCAATGGAAAACAAGGCGGTAATCAGTTCGTGATTGTTGAATGGGGTAAAATAAGCAATATATATGATTGAGAATTCTTTGAATAATGTGGACCAATGTTATAATTATTGGTAACTGCCAGTTGTCTGTGGTCTGTGTTTGCCGCGATTAGGACTTAGGACTTACGACTTACGACTTATGCACGAAACATACCATTTTGACACTGATTTTAAGGGTCAAGTTTGGGGGTCGTCTTATCCATGGGGTCGTCTTATAGACGGTAATATACGGTATTACTCCAGTCAGAGGATGAGTGGGCACTTGAATTTCTTTCTGAACTGACATCCGACTGATTGACTATAGACAATATGGCAATGTTTAATGACAGGAGGAATGCTTCAATATTTGAGAAAACAACATCAAAACATGTGTCTGTTTCCGAAATAGATAAATATGACAATTTTATACAACAGATGATTCATATTTGTGATATATCGACCTTCAAATCATGCAGCTTTGACGTCTTTCAAAAGCATTTTTTTTCTTCTTTTTTTTTCTTCTTACAGGAACAGCCTCATAAAAATCTGTACCTTTAAATACATGGGTTTTTTTCATACTCATCTGAAAAGTGCAATCAACTCCAAGACATCCTTGATCTAGTAAATTACACCTGTCACAACTTTTTACTTTTAGTGATAAATTAATAAGGATAAAGATGTGTGTCCAGGAAAGAATGAGTGTATGGTCCACTGGGTGGAGTGTGGGAGGGAGAATGAGTGTATGGTCCACTGGGTGGAGCGTGGGAGGGAGAATAATGAGATACAGCTGAACTAATTACCTCCCACCACGCTGTTATCAAACCAGTCAAGAGGACCCACATTCACTAATCAAACTTCTAATTAGATGACCTAGCTTAATAAGCTCCCTCATGAGAAGTACAATATATAAATAGAGACAATACTCTTTTAAGCAGTGCAAGTGCTCTTGGCCACAGGTTAAACTTTGAGATAAATCATCTAGCTTCATTAACTGAAATCAACAGTATTAAGTTTCTGAAAGAATAAAACACATGGACAGTTGGATGTACTTGGATGTTATTCTGGGTTTGCTTGTCTTACCTTCCAGTACCCCTGAGTGAGTGAGTTTAGTTTTACGCCGAACTCAGCAATATTCCAGCTATATGGCGGCGGTCTGTAAATAATCGAGTCTGGACCAGACAATCCAGTGATCAAGAGCATGAGCATCGACCTGCGTAAATCTCGGAACCGATGACATGTGTCAACCATGCCAGCGAGCCTGACCACCCGATCTCGTTAGTCGCTTCTTACGACAAGCATGGGTTACTTAAGGTTCATTCTAACCCGGATCTTCACGGGTCCCAGTGCCCCTGAATTTCTGCAGTATATCTCATCATTTATACTCAAATAAATTCCACATTGTCTCAAACTTATTTGGGAGTTCCAAGTATCTGAATTAAGCAAAATGTTCCATTCATGTTTCCAAGAATTTGCAAATTTAGATTAATGTCCCCACATTCACACTTGCCAAACTTTCAACTCACTTCTCACCAGTCGGACTGACCTCACTATGTTGCTTCGCAGCCAGGATAGTTTCTTACAACATGATAATGTAACATGTTCAAATGTAACATAGGTTATAGTTATGTAAGATCGCTGACTGTGTTTGCTGGCAAGTACGTGTTTCACTCTGAGGGTTTGAGAGCAAATCCTGGCTGGAAATCAACCCCAAAACAGTTCTGGAATCTGTATGTTTTTTCAGAAGGCGTATAACGTGTATTACCTGTGTTACATCTGACCACCTCTGAAAAGTAGTGTGTATTCATAGTTTTCAGCCATATGAATTTCCACTTGTCAGATGGGTACACAAAATATGCGATCTAGATTACTGGTTGTCATACTTCCATTTTCTGTCGGTTAAATCACTGGCTTTATGTGCTGGTAAATAGGTGTGTCACTCAGAATGTCAATCCAGAATGTGTACTTTATAATCCCAAGTATAACTGATGTTATATACCCATCGGCAGCAAAGTTACTTAAATGTTCTTAGAATACTACATGTACCTCTAACACTTGATTGCCTTTTTCCTGAAACTTGTTTCTGAATCCACAGGTTTAGCTTGAATAAAAAAATTCGAAAGTCCATGGATTTGTGTTCCATCCCCGGGATTTTCTTAGGACTTTGAATTATATTCCTTGTTTTGAAAATTGACATAACTTTGTCTTGCTATTACTGAATAAGATTGTAGGGGGGAAGGGTTTTCCCTAACATATAAACCGTCAATGATGGATCATTATAATATAAATTATCATTTAATGAAGCTACATAACAATAAATTTACTTTGTTGGTTGTCACCAACCTCGGATAACCTAAACTGTATTCCAGGTCTACATGAGATTCAAACGTATCAGGTTCTGGGAAACTTTGATAATTTGTAAGAGGAGAAAAAGCTTCATTGCGTCTTAATAAGGAGATATTATAAAGTGAGGTTGAAGTTACAGGGAATATTAACAAGTCACAAAAATTTATTGCAGTGGCAAAACAGTTGGGTTTTTCAGTTACTGAAAGAAAAGTGACAAAATATTGCATTTCACCAACAACATTCTGAACTGGCAGAACTTCTGTTCATGGTTTGAAACAGGAAACTGTCTATGGTTCATAGACAGAAATGGTTTTACCTTATGGGACTTGTTTATCAAAAGAAGACCCTTCAAATTCCATTTCACTCCCAAAAGATGTCATTCATAAAATTTAACATATTGAGAATGGTGAAAAAAACATTTTTTGGACAAAATGTTAAAAAAATACAAACTTACATGGGGCTAATGGGCAGGTTTAGTTTTATGTACAGCATACACAATTTTGGAGTTTGCATTCTAACCAGTGCCAACGACTTGTGCTGCTCGGTATTGATCCTGTTGAGTTACACCACGAGTCTCATGCTGGACACAGCCATCCCAGCAGTGGTCAGTGACTGCCCACTTCATCCCCTCCCCTCTAGGTCTGACTACTGTGACGTGCATGACCAGCCCCCACCACTAAAAGCAAGCCTCATCTGGAGTGGATGTACTGTAGCTTCACGATGCCTTGTGGCCCAGTCTCCTGGCTCGCCATCAAGTGACATAATAATTTGGATTGTCTATAAATTGGTGGCTCTAACACTGGTACTCTGTTGCGAGTAGCCCGGTCGCAGCCAGTAGATTAGGACCACTTCAGCGGGGCTCTCTCATTACATACAGGGACATATCACAGGTAAGGCTTCATCTAAGCTTATAATACTGTGGGGCTTTTCTGTTTATTTAGCTTAAGTTATAATTATTTAAGTGGATTGAATAAAACCAATTAGCTGAATCAGGTTTTAATCTGTTTTATATATATTATCCTCAAAGTAACGAAAAAAAGAAATATTTATGAATGTTATAACATAGAAAACAAATGCTAAGATCAATTTTTATATGTTAACCCTAATGTTTTAATGAAAACTATTACATGTCATTTGAGCATATTTGTCTCGCAGCAGGTTACCCAATTGTCCTTAGCAAACATGGTCCAACTTTTAGGTTTCTCTCGGCACAAAATTTCATTTTCTTAATTTTTCTTTCTATCATGATATATTTCTACTTTCTGGTCATCAGATCTAACATAGCACACACTGCTACTATCTCCACTCTCGTTTCACAATCTGAAATATACTTCCAAATGTTCACTTTATGATCTATTCACATTTGAATTCAAGTTGCAATGGAACTTCTAGTTGTATTATAAAATGATTTCTTTTTCTTAATGTAGGCACATTAAGTTGTTAATTTTATTGCCCAATCCAAAAAGCTCACTTATTTGAAGCATGATGTTCATCATGACAAGTAATCTGACAACTCGGAGAAAAGCTTGTTTTCTTCATTAGATGATTTCTCACAGAAACTAGTATGTATTTGATCATTTATTTCCTGACCAATCAAACAGCAGACAAAAATTAACTTGAATTATTTTCTTTTTCACATATTTGGTTAGTCTTTCACTTAATCTGCCCTAAGTTACACCAGTCAAAGCCTGACTCATAATGCTTCATCAGCATAAGAAGCTGTCAGAGAACCTCACAGATCAACAAGTGGCAGAATTTCAGCCATTTAGAGACAGGCTAAGGTTATTCTTATTCATTTCTATTAGTAACATATGTTCAGATTTCTTGTAACTATTTTGATCACTTTTAATCTTTTGATTTGTGATACTGTTGTTAAGTATTTTTATGAAGCAAACTCATAATGGAAAGACACACCTGCTATTTCATTATCACACCTGTATCACAAGGAAGCCAAAGTTACTTTCTAGTTATCTTCCTTACAGGAGCTCTAGTTGTGGTTTTAATTGCTTTGCCACACTCTAAACATGTTATCCTCCATACAGGAGCTCTAGTTATGGTTTTAACTGCTTGGACACAATGTAAACCTGTTATCCTGTGAGGTGAAGCTCTAGTTGTGGTTTAAACTGCTGGGTCACACTCTCAACATGTAATCCTGTGAGGTGAAGCTCTCGTTTTGGTTTAAACTGCTTGGCCACACTGTAAACATGTTTTCCTGTGATGGGAGGTCTAGTTTTGGTTTTAACTGCTTGGCCACACTCTAAACATGTTGTCCTGTGAGGTGAAGCTCTAGTTATGGTTTTAACTGCTGGGTCACACTGTAAACATGTTATCCTGTGAGGTGAAGCTCTAGTTATGGTTTTAACTGCTTGGCCACACTGTAAACATGTTGTCCTGTGAGGTGAAGCTCTAGTTATGGTTTTAACTGCTTGGCCACACTGTAAACATGTTGTCCTGTGAGGTGAAGCTCTAGTTATGGTTTTAACTGCTGGGTCACACTGTAAACATGTTGTCCTGTGATGTGAAGCTCTAGTTATGGTTTTAACTGCTTGGCCACACTGTAAACATGTAATCCCGTGAGGTGAAGCTCTAGTTATGGTTTTAACTGCTGGGTCACACTGTAAACATGTTATCCTGTGAGGTGAAGCTCTAGTTTTGGTTTTAACTGCTGGGTCACACTGTAAACATGTAATCCCGTGAGGTGAAGCTCTAGTTTTGGTTTTAACTGCTGGGTCACACTGTAAACATGTTATCCTGTGAGGTGAAGCTCTAGTTATGGTTTTAACTGCTTGGCCACACTGTAAACATGTTGTCCTGTGATGTGAAGCTCTAGTTTTGGTTTTAACTGCTGGGTCACACTGTAAACATGTAATCCCGTGAGGTGAAGCTCTAGTTTTGGTTTTAACTGCTGGGTCACACTGTAAACATGTTGTCCTGTGAGGTGAAGCTCTAGTTATGGTTTTAACTGCTTGGCCACACTGTAAACATGTAATCCCGTGAGGTGAAGCTCTAGTTATGGTTTTAACTGCTGGGTCACACTGTAAACATGTTGTCCTGTGAGGTGAAGCTCTAGTTATGGTCTTAACTGCTGGGTCACACTGTAAACATGTTGTCCTGTGAGGTGAAGCTCTAGTTATGGTTTTAACTGCTTGGCCACACTGTAAACATGTTATCCTGTGAGGTGAAGCTCTAGTTATGGTTTTAACTGCTGGGTCACACTGTAAACATGTTGTCCTGTGAGGTGAAGCTCTAGTTATGGTTTTAACTGCTTGGCCACACTGTAAACATGTAATCCTGTGAGGTGAAGCTCTAGTTATGGTTTAAACTGCTGGGTCACACTGTAAACATGTTGTCCTGTGAGGTGAAGCTCTAGTTATGGTTTTAACTGCTTGGCCACACTGTAAACATGTTATCCTGTGAGGTGAAGCTCTAGTTATGGTCTTAACTGCTGGGTCACACTGTAAACATGTTGTCCTGTGAGGTGAAGCTCTAGTTATGGTTTTAACTGCTTGGCCACACTGTAAACATGTTATCCTGTGAGGTGAAGCTCTAGTTATGGTTTTAACTGCTGGGTCACACTGTAAACATGTTGTCCTGTGAGGTGAAGCTCTAGTTATGGTTTTAACTGCTGGGTCACACTGTAAACATGTTGTCCTGTGAGGTGAAGCTCTAGTTATGGTTTTAACTGCTGGGTCACACTGTAAACATGTTGTCCTGTGAGGTGAAGCTCCAGTTATGGTTTTAACTGCTTGGCCACACTGTAAACATGTTATCCTGTGAGGTGAAGCTCTAGTTATGGTTTAAACTGCTGGGTCACACTGTAAACATGTTGTCCTGTGAGGTGAAGCTCTAGTTATCGTTTTAACTGCTTGGCCACACTGTAAACATGTTATCCTGTGAGGTGAAGCTCTAGTTATGGTTTTAACTGCTTGGCCACACTGTAAACATGTTATCCTGTGAGGTGAAGCTCCAGTTATGGTCTTAACTGCTGGGTCACACTGTAAACATGTTATCCTGTGAGGTGAAGCTCTAGTTATGGTTTAAACTGCTTGGCCACACTGTAAACATGTTATCCTGTGAGGTGAAGCTCCAGTTTTGGTTTTAACTGCTGGGTCACACTCTAAACATGTTATCCTGTGAGGTGAAGCTCTAGATTTTGTTTTAACTGCTTGGTCACACTCCAAACTGTTATCCTGTGAGGTGGAAATCTAGTTTTGGTCTTAAATGGGTGTGATGGCCCACATGTGTTGATATGTTACAATGCAATGTTTTCATTGAAACAAGTCTGCTACCTTGTACATTGGCACATATGTTTCGTTTTCACTCACAGCTGAAAGTAGGAGAGAATATTAAGTATGTTTCGTATTTGACTATTATGAAGACTGGAGTAAATTGAGCACATTAGGTATTTGAGCATTGTGAGAGGCTATTAAATATCTGTGTATACCGAGTGTTGTGGTATATTGACTGTATTGAGTATTTGAGTATGCAGTATTAGGTACTCTTTCAGAAGTAAAAGAATATCTTAGAGCTACTTTAGATGAATGCTACAATAAGCTTCCCCCTCCCTTTCTAACAGTTTTATCACTTTTTGAAAAGTACTTAAATCAAAGGGATATTTCAAGAGTTTTAAGTCTTTGATTTCAATAAGTGTCTGATCAGTAGATAAAAAATAGTTTGATGACAGGGATTTACAGGACGTGAATTCCTGCCTCCTATATGCATAAAAATTGATAATGGACGCAACAAAATTTATTAGCACGTCCACAGGGACTCATAGAAAAAGTCCAAGTACTTTTTGTAAAAATTCCAATCAAGTGACAATAACTTATCACTGAGTTTGCTACTAGCTGGGTTAAGGTATTTTTTGCAATTTAATTACTGTAACAATGTGAACATCATGATACATAATACAATAACAGTATTAATAATAGCATTTAAGTGTCTGGGACCCCCATTTTGTTGTCCAGGACCCCTGAAAATTAAGAGTATGAGTCCCAGGGACCCTCAAATTTGCAGATGTTTCAAAACATTCCCCTGATGATGTACAAGGTGTAGCACCTCAAGCTTGTTATTAGAGGCCACTATAGGAACTGGGTGGTCAGACTTTCTTGATCCATATCATTGCCCAGTTGATCAATGACTATGATGTCAATCAGTGGACTGTCTCGTCAAGTCTTTATTAATTGCGAACCGATGTCATATAGCTGGAACATCAGTGAGAGTGACAGTAACAAGAAAACAATGTAGCAACTAGGATTGCCTCCTGGGCAATACTGACGGTCTTCAGACTTCCCCATTCACTCCCCGTGGCTGCCTTTACTTGTACTGTTTCTTTGGACGCCAGCTGGAGCTTCCATTTTAACTCTCGGAGTTACGGGTGTTTGAAGTGTATTTAAGGGCTAGAAACCGTCCACGATTGTAGTGTTTGACGTTCTGGAGAAGAAGATTTTCAAACACAGGCACCGTCAAAACGTGAAAATCGACAAAAAAATCAGTTTTTCAAAAATTGAGGAAAATGTATTCTGCCGCCCGGCTTATTTTATGCGCTTAATCAATAGAGGATGATGATGTCTACATCGAGTGAAAATTTGGTCAATTTATCTCTTCTAGTTTTGGAGATATTGGGTTTCAAAGATTTTGACGTTTTGGGTTATCTGCCCTTACTGGAAGCCGGGATTTTTTCAACCATGCATCAATTTCAGCCTATATGCTATCATCCCTGTAAGTTTCATCGAAATCGACCCAGGGGTTAGTTCAGGAGAGCTGGGACAAAAAACGTACAAATAATAATAAGAATAATATTCGGATAAAAACAGTAGGTCTTCCAGACTGTTGTCTGAAGACCTAATGATATGGTACATCATTACACTGGGAAACAATACAGTCACTT